CACTTATGAACCACATCAACAAAGTCGACTACCACTGAACAACAGGTTCCTGACTTAGGACATGTGCAAACAAATGCAGCGGGTTTAAATGTTTCAACGGGCACCAACCTTCATCCTAAACTGAACCATTAGTATAACATTACAACATAGAAAGACACACTATAAAATATCAATTGAAATGGCTTAACTCGATCAAAAAGAAATATCAACAAAACAAGTATTAAGGTAGCACTACAGTCTAACTGATTTTTTTAAGATATTTTTTTTATCACATAATTTAGAATTATTAAGTATTATTCTGCAAAGTTTGTAAAAATCCCAAAGTCATTATCATATCACAACAGGGAGTAAATTGATAATGAACTTATGTAAATAAAAGCACATGGTAATTAATCTAAATATATAGGCATTTGGGAGGGGCTAATATGTCAATCATCTGTTGATACCAGTGTCCAGCTGTTAATCCCTGACCACAAGATAAATATTGTGGTCTTATCTCATTGTATTGCAACAAAAGCAATTTATATAACATGTTTATAAACAGAGAAAAAGAAAAAGATATGAAAAGGAAAAAATCTAAAGGGAAGAAATCTACAAAAAATGAAAAAAAAATATGGAAAAGAGTGTGAGAGTTTCTTTGAAAGCCTCTGACTGCCTGTATAAATTTCTTCTATTTGGTCTTCTACATTTAAATACAGTTTTAGGCATTTTAACCAATTTTAAGTTTATGTGAAATTTTTCATTCCATAAAACTCAAAAATCATGTGGGAGTGTCTTTTTTTAAAGAAGTGGATGGTCTTGGATCTTTTTATGAACGTCTTTTGATGCACAATTTTAATGTTCTAGCTAGTATATTTCTTTTTAAAATACAAATGAAGATAAATGTGGATAGTGTCCACATGTGGACACAGATGATGCCCCTGCTTGCATATCATACAGTTATAAAGGGACATAACTGAAGAACGGTAAAAGTGACGCTACCCAAATTTAAACTTGATCTGAGTTTTGTGGTAATAAGCATTGTGTGTAAGTCTCATAACATTTGGTTGAGGCTAACTTAAGTAGAGAACAGAAACTAAAAATTCAGCAATTTTTCTATTTGTAAACACACATAACTCTAGAACGGTTGTGTATAAGTTTTATTACATTTGGTTGAGACAAACTAAAGGTAGAAAAGGGAAACGAAAAATTCAGCAATTTTTTTGTTTATAAAGGGACATTACTCAAAAACTGGTAAAAGTGATCTTAGTTTTGTGGTAATGAATATTGTGTATAGGTTTCGTAATGATTGGTTGGGGCAAACTTAAGTTACAGAATGGAAACTAAAAATTTTGCAATCTTTCGATTTATAAAGGGCATAGCTCAAAAATGGTTAAAGTGACACTACCCAAATTCAACTTGATCTGTGTTTTATCAGTGGAAGTCAACATTAAACATTGCATTGTATAAAGCATTGATTGTAGTTGATTCATCTATAATCATGGACAAAGGAAGATAACTCCAATTTTAAGCGTCAAACTACCGCCAAATGCCAAGTTAGTGTTGCACAGTGCCACACATAATGCAAAATTTACAGCATTAGAGCATCAAAGAGACAAAGTGTGTGGGTGTTCCCAGTGGAATTTTTGCATTTATGTTGCATTTATAGGGGTTCTAAGGGGGAAATTCCGTTTTTTGGTCATTTCTCAGAACAATTTTTCATGAGATTTGTTAGGAAAAAATGAAAATATAAACTTTATGGGTACCCCCTTTGGCTTGACTTTGATATATGTGATTAAAGGGAGTATTTTCTACCGTGTCCCAGTTTTGGGATAATTTGTTTCTAAATGAATTTATAGATCTCCAAAGATGAAAGGTGAAATGAGGTTTGGCACCCAGCAGTTAAATCGATATTTCTTCTTACTGGAGGCATATATCAAAAATCTGAGACACGGTTTTGCAGCTTGTATATGGTTGATTAAAGGGATGAAAACAAATTTTTACTACCATTTGACCTGAATGTGCCATTTCCATCCAAGTTGGAAGACAACTTTTTTGGCAATTAATGAGCTATATTTTGAGATTTATCTATGGATTAAGAAAGAGTAATATTTCAGCTTTAAAATGAGTTAAAGATTTTAAAAATCCATTGAGTAGTTTTGGAGAAATTAATCTTTAAAGTCTGTTGGTTGGAGTCAGAAAATTCTGACTGTAGTGCTACCTTAAACATACACTGAGCGAATAAATTTGATCTATGACACAATATACATGTGTAAATACAATATGTAAAACAATGTCAAAAAGACAACTATAACCTGGGACAAAATGGCTTTAAATAAAATAACGTACACAGGTAAGTTTAAATATAAGAATTTTGTTGTCGGAAGTACGGAAATATTTTTTACAAAATAAATTTGTTGTTCATAGTACGAGAACATAAGTGAAATTTAATCGTAAAACTAAACACTTATCAAAAGTACATATAAAAAATAGTGAGACGAGATATAACACAAAAACAAGCAAACATTGAATAACAAAAATGCATTACAAATTATGTCAACAGGTCAAATCAACACGAAAGTACGATTTTAGAGTACTCTCAGTTACTGAAAGCTAGTTAAAAGCCAAAAACAATTAATAATAAAAAAAATCATGCATCAGAGACTAAAATCAATCAAAACACATCCCAGGGATTTAGTGTTTTAGTGCCATATGGACAATCAAAAAATACATGACCTGTGCAATCCGAAATAAAAGTATATCGACAGGCAGTAGGATAGTTAGGATTTAACCTTATAATAAATATGTATAATGTTATATATAGATAAAGCAATCTCTATATAGAAAATAAACATGGCAGTGTATTTATACATAAAAAAAAACCATCCGAAAAGAATACAACTTTAGTTATGTTTTAATTTGTTGATGACAAATTTGATATACACACATAGAAATAAGAAGATGTGTTATGAGTGCCAATGAGACAAATCTCCATCCAAGTCACAATGTGTAAAAAGTAAACAATTATAAGTCAAAGTACGGCCTTCAACGGCCTTCAACATGGAGCCTTGGCTCACACCAAACAGCAAGCTATAAAGGGCCACAAAATGGCTAGTGTAAAATAATTCAAACAGGAAAACCAACGTTCTAATCTACACAGTCTATATTATACCGACCAATGTTATTTAATCACTTAAACACTGTCTTGCCTCTTGGAACACTGGATCATGTAAGAAGTACAAGTCAACTTGGCTGCATTTGATACACTTGACTCTGAGCTAAAGTAATCTTGATTCTGGTAACAGTTTGTGAAGTTGTTAATAAATCTAAACACTGAGGAGGCTGTGAATTGTGTTTGAGTCCTTGTTGACCCTGCTGTCAGTTCTGAACTTCTTGAGCATGTTGAAGGTTATTTAATGTCCACACTAGAGTGTGAAATAGTGAGCATTTCTTTGCTGAGTCGAAAGTTTATTAAATGTTTTTTTCAGAATCAAAACTTTCAGATCGATGTTTCACAACATTCCACTTTTCTATCAATGCCAGTATTTACTTTAATCATCTTTGGCATGTGCCATAAACAGAAGCCATATCGAGTAAATAGTATTTGATCACCTGTTTATTGTTCAATTAAACTATTATCACTTGGTAATTAACATTGGGCTACTGTAAACTTTGAATCAACAGAAATTCCGTTATGTCATTTAAACGTGATAAACGAAGGCAACAGTAGTATACCGCTGTTCAAAACTCATAAATCGATCGAGAGAAAACAAATCCGGGTTACAAACAACAAGAGGCTGCAGAGGTCGAACCCTGAACAGTTGAGCAAGTATGGACACAACATTTAAGCTTAAAACAGCTCTGAATTTGGATTGTGATCGAATATTTAAAATAGATTATTATCTAATTAATAATGAAAACGATATTTGCAAATCTGAACCCCAAACAGGATCATGTAAAAATTAAACATTACCACACACCACAAAAATAAAATACCACATAACAACTGTGACATCTACCTTCATAACACACATGACTTAAAAAAAATATTTGTAAAGAAATTTTGATGTTATCATGTGTTCATGGAATAAGTTTGAGTTATTTCCCTTTCAACTGAAATATGGTTTAACATAGTACTCTAACATTAGATATGATTAATAGTTCTCTAAAATTAGATATGATGTAACACAATGTATATCTATTTTCAAATTATATTCAAATATAATTAATGGTTCCAAATATTTTTTCTTTCATTTGTCACAAACTAATACAGATCTGTAACTTATCTATGATCAATGTCAACAACTTTAAATGTAATGAAATATATCCTATAATAAAAAAAGATTATTATCTAAATAAAGGAGTTCACTTCATAAAAAAAAATATATATATATATAGCATTCAGATAATTAGTTTATACAGAATAACAAACAATAAAATTGAGAATGGAAATGGGGAATATGTCAAAGAGACAACAACCCGACCAAAGAGCAGACAACAGCCGAAGGCCACCAATGGATCTTCAATACAGCGAGAAAATCCCGCACCCAGAGGTGGTCCTCAGCTGGCCCCTAAATAAAATTGTGTGTTAGTTCAGTGAAAATGGACGTCACACTAAACTCCAAAACATATAAATAACCTAAAATTAAATAAGTGTGGGTTGTGAACACATGTGGACACAGATGATGCCCCCGCTTGCATATCATATAGTTATAAAGGGACATAACCGAAGAAAGGTAAAAGTGACGCTACCCAAATTTGATCTTGATCTGAGTTTTGTAGTAATAAGCATTGTGTATAATTTTTATAACATTTGGCTGAGAAAAACTAAAGTAAGAGAACAGAAAAGAATAAAATGCTCCGCTGGGGCGCAGCTTGATACGACCAAAGAGGTTGAACCCTGAACAGTTGGGGCAAGTATGGACACAACATTCAAGCTTGATACAGCACTGAATTTGGATTGTAATTAAATATTTGACACAGCATAGGTTTCGGACACAGAATGAATGTGGTCTAAGAAAAATGCTTGTTTTTTGGCCCCAAATTCCTAAACGTTTAGGGCAATTACCCCCAAACTCAAACCTAGCTTTCCCTTTGTGATATGGAACCTTGCAGTACAATTTCATAAAGTTCCATACACTTACACACAAGTTATTGTCCCGAAACTAGAAAAATGCTTGTTTTTTTGCCCCTTTATGGCCCCTAATTCCTAAAATTTTAAGGGAATTACCCCCAAAAGCAATCCCAGCCTTCCCTTTGTGGTATGGTACCTTGCAGTACAATTTCAGAGAGATCCATACACTTGAACACAAGTTATTGTCTGGAAACTAGAAAAATGCTTATTTTTTGGCCCCTTAGTCCTAAACGTTTTGGGCAATTACCTCCAAACTCAGTTCCAGCTTTCCCTTTGTGATATGGAACCTTGTAGTACAATTTCATAAAGATCCATACACTTACACACAAGTTATTGTCATGAAACTAGAAAAATGCTTGTTTTTTGCCCCCTTTTGGCCCCTAATTCCTAAAATTTGGAGGCAATTACCCCAAAAATCAATTCCTGCATTCCCTTTGTGATATGGAACCTTGTGGTACAATGTCAGAGAGATCCATACACTAACACACAAGTTATGTCTGGAAGTTGCAAAAATGCTTATTTTTGGCCCTTTTTTGGCCCCTAATTCCTTAACTGTTGGTACCATAACCCCCAAAATCAATCCCCACCTTCCTTTTGTGGTATTGAACCTTATGGTAAAATTTCATAGAGATTCATTCACTGAAACTAAAGTTAGAGTGCGAAAACCAATGTGTCTTCGGAGGACGACGACGACGACGACGCCAACGTCATACCAATATTTTTTGCGGTCGTAAAAAATTCAGCAATTTTTATGTTTATAAAGGGGCATTACTCAAGAATGGTAAAAGTGACGCCAACGAATTTCGTACTTAAACTGTATTATGTCGTAATAAGCATTGTGTATAAGTTTCATAACATTTGGTTGAGGCAAACTAAACATTGCACAAGGTCATGTTTTTCTCTGACTGTTTATGACGTCTCTACACTAAATCCAATGGATGTTGGATGTGTATGGATTGATAATTTAGTCTTAAATTCATGATTTTTTTTATTTTTTTTTTTTATTAATTGTTAGTAACTGCGAGTACTCTCAGATCTGTACTTAGTGTCTTTTTGTTGTTTGGATGTACAAGTACCCGGCCACATCCACTTGTATTTGTAGTATTTGTATTTTTATCCATCTGATGAGTTAAGCCTCTTTCAACTGATTTTTATAGTATGTTCTTACTTTGTACTGTTACACCACTGTCCCAGGTTAGGGGGAGGGTTGGGATCCCGCTAACATGTTTAACCCCACCACATTCTGTATGTATGTACGTGCCTGTCCCAAGTCATGAGCCTGTAATTCAGTGCTTGTCGTTTCTTGCTGTGTTACATATTTGTTTTTCGTTCATTTTTTGTACATAAATTAGGCCGTTAGTTTTCTCGTCTGAATTGTTTTACATTGTCATTTCAGGGCCTTTTATAGCTGACTGTGCGGTATGGGCTTTGCTCATGTTAAAGGCCATATGGTGACCTATAGTTATTAATTTCTGTGTCATTTGGTCTCTTGTGGAGAGTTGTCTCATTGGCAATCATACCACATCTTCTTTTTTATATATAAAGTTAGAGAATGGAAACAAAAAATTTGTACTTGATCTTAGTTTTGTGGTAATGAGTATTGTGTATAGGTTTTATAATGTTAGGTTGGGGCAAACTTAAGTTACAGAATGGAAACTTAAAATTTTGCAATTTTTCGATTTATAAAGGGGCATAATTCAATAATGGTTAAAGTGACACGACCCAAATTCAGCTTGATCTGTGTTTTATCAGTGGAAGGCAAAATTAAACATTGCATTGTATAAAGCATTGATTGTAGTTGATTCAACTATAATCATGGACAAAGGTAGATAACTCCAATTTTAAAAATTACTTGAATAATGACATTGATATTTTTAGAAAAAAATGAAAAATTTAGCAATTTTTTTTCATTTGTAAAGGGGCATAACTCTAGAACAGTAAAAGTGAGGCCACCAAAATTCAAACTTGATCTGTGCATACATGTGAACCTCCCGACGGGAGTACAATAATCCCGTTTTCAGGGGTCTCCTCTCGACCTCCTGTTGAAGAGAAAAAAATCCCGTGTATGAAATTTTTCATGAATGAAAAATTTCTGCCCAACATATCATCTCAGGCATCTGGTGTAACTGACATTACCTGAAGTTATATTTTACCTGTAAATCGATTAACATGCATAATTATATGGCTTCACTTGTCAGCTTGGGTGTCAAACATACTGGTAATCAACGATTTTTACCTCAGGCTAACTGCCGTTGTGTAATAAAAACTTTTGTGTATTTATTGGGTTACTTCCCTTGATTTATCCTGTTTTAAGTTACTTTCCTTTAAATAATGAAAATTTTTAAAAGAATATAAATAAAATATAAATTGAACAAATAATCATAAAAGGATGATAATTAAATGTATTCAAATGTCTTAGGACAAATAATCAAATAATATTTTGAAAATTATTTGAGGGTTCTATACTTTCTTTCAAGGCTTAAATTGAAATTTATATAATAACTATGACCCTTATGATAGAATGATTTTCTGAGTATGCAAATAAAAACTATTTGCAGATAGTTAAACAAATGTTCTGATTGCAATGATTGTTCTATAAAATAATGATATAAAAGGTATGAAGTAAAAAATTTGAAGAACATACTAAAAAAAAAGATTGAACATGTAGAATATAAAGACAGAGAAACTTTATAAGTACAAGGGTACTATAAACGTAATACATTGGATGGAAAGTTGAAGAAAACACACTTTAAAAGACAATTTTTACAGCACACGGTTACATTTATGACAAAATTTATGTCGATTAAAAACCTCCTGATCTGAGTCCTAATCTCCTGACCAAAATTTCCCAATCTCCTGATCTGAGTTTCACAGTCCATCACATGTATGTCTGTGTATTGTGGTAATAAGCATTGTGTATAAGTTTCATAACATTTGGATGAGGCAAACTTAAGTTAGAGAACAGAAAATGAAAAATTTTGCAATTTTTCCATTTATAAAGGGACATAACTCTAGAACAGTTAAAGTGACGCCACCAAAATTCAAACTTGATCTGTGTTTTGTGGTAATAAGTATTGTGCATAAGTTTGATAACATTTGGTTGAGGCAAACTTTAGTTAGAGAACAGAAACCAATTTTGGGACGTACGGAAGGACATACGTACGTAGGTACAGACGGACAAGGGTAAAACTTAATGCCCCCTCCGCTTCGGCGGGGGTATAAAAACATACAAGACTAACAAAGACCCGAGGTTCCCGACTTGGGACAGGTGCAAAAATGCGGCGGGGTTAAACATATTTTGTGAGATCTCAACGTTCCCTCTCCCTATACCTCAAGCCAATGTAGAATAAAGAAACACATAGCAATACACACAGTAAAACTCAGTTTGAAAGAAGTCCGAGTCCGATGTCAGGATAGGTAACAAAAGAAACTAAGCAAAATGACAATGATACATAAATGAACAAAGGACTACTAGCAGTTACTGACATGCCAGCTCCAGACCTCAATTAAACTGATTAAAAGATTATGTCATATGAAAATCAAGTACAATCCCTCCCGTTAGGGGTTTAGTATCATACCATCATAAAATATATGAGAAGAACATAACCCGTATCATGCCAACAACTGGTTTTAGAATAAATGTGTTTCTTTCCAATGCAAAGACCCTATGAGTGAATCAATATTAATACCAAAATATGCAATCCTTTAAACCTACCACAAAATTCTTCAAACAATTTACCAAAGAAAAGAAAAAATAAATGTGGATTGTGTCCACATGTGGACACAGATGATGCCCCTGCTTGCATATCATATAGTTATAAATGGACATAACTGAAGAACGATAAAAGTGATGCTACCCAAATTTGAACTTGATCTGAGTTTTGTGGTAATATGCATTGTGTGTAAGTCTCATAACATTTGGCTGGGGCTAATTTAAGTAGAGAACCGAAACTAAAAATTCAGCAATTTTTCTATTTGTAAACAGGCATAACTCTAGAACTGTTGTGTATAAGTTTTATAACATTTGGTTGAGACAAACTAAAGTTAGAGAACGGAAACGAAAAATTCAGCAATTTTTATGTTTATATAAAGGGACATAACTCAAGGATGGTAAAAGTGACGCCACCAAATTTGGTACTTAATCTGTATTATGTAGTAATAAGCATTGTGTATAAGTTTCATAACATTTGATTGAGGCAAACTAAAGTTGGAGAACGGAAACAAAAAAATTGTACATTATCTTAGTTTTGAGGTAATGAATATTGTGTATAGGTTTCATAATGTTTGGTTGGGGCAAACTTAAGTTACAGAATCTTTCGATTTATAAAGGGGCATAACTCAATAATGGTTAAAGTGACACTACCCAAATTCAACTTGATCTGTGTTTTATCAGTGAAAGGCAAAATTAAACATTGCATTGTATAAAGCATTGATTGTAGTTGATTCAACTATAAACATGGACAAAGGAAGATAACTCCAATTTTAAAAATTACTTGAATAATGACATTGATATGTTTAGAAATTACATTTAGTTAAGACAAACTCAAGTTAGAGAACGGAAACAAAAAATTCAGCATTTTTTTCATTTGTAAAGGGGAATAACCCTAGAACGGTAATCAGAGTGCTTGTAATCACAGAATGGTAAAGATTGCTTTAATTTATCAGTAGGAAGTAAAATTGAATATTGCATTGTATAAAGCATTGGTTGTAGTTGATTCAACTACCATTATGCACAAAGAAAGACAACTCCAATTTTCAAAGAAGACTAAAATATTTTTAGAAATGAAGGGTAAAAATTGCTTTAATTTATCAGTGGAAGGCAAAATTAAACATTGCATTGTATAAAGCATTGCATTGTAGTTGATTCAACTATAATCATGGACAAAGGAAGATAACTCCAATTTTAATAAAATGCTCCGCTGGGCGCAGCTTGATACGACTGCAGAGGTCGAACCCTGAACAGTTGGGTCAAGTATGGACACAACATTGAAGCTTGATACAACTCTGAATTTGGATTGTGATTAAATATTTGACACAGCATAGGTTTCTTACACAGAATGAGTGTGGTCTAAGAACTTAATTTTTTTTAATTTACCTATTATGGTCCAATATCCAAAATCTAAATACATGGTTAGATTCAGCATATCAAAGAATCCAAAGAATTCAATTTTAGATGAAATCAAACAAAGTTTAATTTTTGACCCTTTTGACCTCAATGTGGACCAATTTGATAACGGGGCCCAAAAA